TATGTGCATTTGTTTCATGATCCCATTAACGATAGCCAAATGGCGGCCGCTTTAAGGCCGAAAATGCATTGAAATCGCACATTTTCACCATTCCGAACCCGGATCTCAGTTATGCATGGACGGATTTTGTTCAAATTCGGTACTTACATTAAACATAATAGGACCTTGATGCACGTCATTTTTTTTTTCGGATCAAGTTCGAAATGGCCGACTGGCGGCCATTTTCTTAAAGAATTCAGTTCTGGATCCGTATCCAAGACATGTCTGGATTGATCAAGTTCAAACTTCACACACACATGGTGCATCATGTCACAAATAGATATGTGCATTTGTTTCATGATCCGCTTAGCAATAGCTGAATGATGGCCATTTTAAGGCCGAAAATGCATTAAAATCACGTATTTTCACAATTCCAGAACCGGATCTCAGTCATGCATGCATGGATTTTGTTCAGATTTAGTACAATGTGTTGTACATATGCAGGTGCATTTCGGTCATGATCTGCTTTGAATGTATATGTCACTCAAATATGAACGGAACGGGGACGTGTCATTGACAATGACTTGTTCAGATTTGTTCATTTCGTGATGATATCTTAAATTCTCTAATTTTGGTGAATATTTTTGTCATTTTTGGTAGAAAATGATATTTTCGACTTCTTGTTAAAAACTGTAAGTCCGATTGCTTTGATACTATACATATTATTCATTTTCTAATGATGTCTTCAGTTCTTTAATTGAAATGTGCATTGCTAACAGTGGAGCTATCTCAGCCGATAGGCTGCTTGTTTTGTTAGTTTGCAGGTTATTGTAGCAATGTACAGTCAATGAAATTGAAAACTTTGGGGAGAATAAATCCTGTAGTTCAGGAGTAAAATAATGTAACAGCTTCACTGAGCTGAACAAAATATTGAAAATATGCCCTCTAGTGTTGAACATGGGAGATAGGACCTATTGATACTAAATAGCGCCACCACAGGGCAAATAATTCAGTGCTTTTATTGTGTCATACTGTAAAACAGTATATTGTTATTGCAGGACAGTTTCAGGACAGATACATGTGGATACATTTTTTCAAGTATAACTCTCTGTCATGATGATCTTAAAAATGTCAGTTCAAAATGTAATTTTTTGTCATTTGGAAATGTGAGGAATACAGTATATTTAAATTTATTTGTTTGTAATTATTAGGAACTTACAACAACCAGTATATGATATTAAACCTTAATCTTATTACTCTGAACCAAACTATCAGGGATGATGCATTCTGGGTTGTTGAGCAAATGCCGTCCAAGGTAGAATCTGGGGACCAGACTGCCATTCTCAGATCAGGTAATTTTATATTATCTCATTAAAAAGTACATCGCTAGTATCCGAATAAGTTACTGACTTATTTTTTAATCGTTTTATTTTTTCTTGAATGGGTCAAGTTTGGTCAAGGAGAAGTGGTCAAAAATGATAATAACTAAAAAGAAATCTAGCCTCCTGATCACTCTGCATGAAGCATTTTTTTGTGCAACCACAAACATTCATTTTTGAATTTCATTCAATCTGCAGGTTACTGGCCGTCTTACAACATACCATTTTACGAAAGTATTTACAATATGAGTGGATATCCAGCGATTGTTGAAAAGTTTGGACTTGATTATTCATATCAGCTAGCTCCAAGAGCAAAAATATTCCGAAGAGACCAGGGAAAAGTGTCCAATTTTGATGATATGAAGTCGATAATGAGATATAATGGTAAGTCAACAGAAAATATTAATCTGTGTCGATATAGCAAAATATCTGCCATCCGTGTGTCAATATATAACTAATAATAACTGACTGGAGTTTAATATGCTTTCCTGTATCTGCTTCTGCTATTTGCTCCATGCTTAATATGTAATTAAGTCATAATTTAATGATCATGTATGCAATTTCGATGTACCTTTGTTTCTACTGGTGATGCTAGTCTAATAAAGAAAATAATAGCTGTATACGGTGATAGATTTTGAATTTGTTAGTTATGTAATGTTAAATTTCTCTGCTGTCATCAAAGATAGTGGAACTGCTCATAGGGTAGAATAGAATAGAACAATCTTAAAGAAAATTTCCACACAAAAAATGAAGCATTTTCACAAAACATTCTAAAAGTGTGATAAATATTATATTACTACCGCAGTTGTCCGAGTATAAACCTCTGCTCAAGTATAAGCCCCCCCTCCAAATTTGCAGCATTTTACAAGTCATTTATCTGATTATAAGCCCCCCCCCCCCCCAATTTTCCGTCAATTTGCCGTTTTCCCGGAGGGGTTTATACTCAGACATCTACGGTATAAAATATTGTGTCATCTGCTTTCATATGATGGCATTATATTTATTTTTACATATGGTTACGTGACATACAATGATTTTGTATGCTGACATGATTCAGAGATACTTGGGTACAAAATTTTGTTTTATGATCTAATTTGAGTTTGACTGTTAACAATTCAAAACTTTGAATATGTTAATAAGCCAAGATGACTTATTTGAAGATGGCATATTTGAATCAGACTTTGTATGAGGACAGCACTTATTAGGTTGCAGGCGAAAAGTATCGTATTTTCTTTATTTGAAGCCAACATAAACCAAATATTTTATGCGAAATCATTAAAATACATCTTCCTTAGTCCATAGACTTGCTTCAGTCATTTACATGACGTAGTCCGATACAGAGACTTATGTTTTGGCATCCGTCGTCATTTCTCAGAGACACCGGGACAGATTTTCTTAAAAGCTAGTACAGAGGCAAGTCATAATGGGAGACATATGCACACTTTTACCCGACTGGCGGATTTTTGTTCCAAAAAAAACAAAAATCAACATTTGGACATGTCATCAATCGTTTCTCGGACATGCCTTTACTGATTTCATTCTAACTTGGCATTGACATCAGTTATGGTGGGTTAAAGTTGCACATCATTTTTTTGTTGATTCGATTCAAAATGGCGGACTGGTGGCCATTTTGTTTTTTTATGAGTGTTCTGTTCATTTTACAAAGATGATTGTACAGATTTGGGTTAAATTTTGTACAAAGCCAAAATATAATGAGTTAAATATTGTTTTCAGTTATTTTTTCTTTTTCATTGAAATTTAGCTGAATGGCGGCAATTTTTTGTCAAAAACAAATAAAATCACAAAATTGAAACATGTCATCAACCGTTTCTTGGACATGCCTTGACCTATTTCATGCAAACTTGGTGTTGACATCAGTGATAGTGGGTTACTGAGGCAAGTCATTGTTTTTTCGTGATTCAATTCAAAATGGTGGACTGGTGACCATTTTGTTTTTTGTGAGTGTTCTGCTAATTATACAGAGATAATTGTAGATTTGGGTTAAATTTGGTAAAGGCAAGATATAATGGATTAAATGTTTTTTGTTTTGTTTTTTAAAGTTGGTACATCACAAATCATGATAAATGTTAATATCGCTTTGTTTTATTTGTTGACCTTCAACTGACAGCCATTAATTGTTCCAAAAATCAACATTTGGACATTTCATTAACAGTTTTCTGGGGTATGCCCTGACCAATTTTATTCAAACTTAGTCTTTATACCTGTTTCATGCACATTTGTAGTTAATATGCTAAATGCTATCCAATATTTTAACATAATCTGACTATGCTTTTCATAGTTTGACCAAGTCACTATAACATGGCAGGGACTATGTCATTGTCAATGACTTGTTAATAAAGCAAATGGTTTACACTGAAATCAGCAAAGGCATGTTTATTCTTTTAAATGTATATTTGTTTATAAACCCAAAGGTTTTCATTTGAAATCACTCTTATTCATATGAAAACTAAACGACTGGATTAGCTTGGCAGGTGCCTCCCCTATTCTATGAAGTACCGGGTACTTGCACATCAATCTGACATAAATGTACATCACTGCACGTTCGCATAAAATGTACATTTGAGGTCTTGTTATTCAGGTTTTTGAATACTTTATGACATGCACCTTAACTTAGCTGACTCTGCTGACTTTATTAGTTGTTAGAGGAAGAAATCTAAACACTCAACACATGTAACATGTGTGTACAATACTTTGTGGTAACTTACTATTATATCATAATTTTTGTGTTTCACTTTCTTGCAGATTATTTACACGATCCATATTCAGAAATGAATTCGTGCAATACTATATGTTGTCGTGGCGACCTTAATATCAAAAATCCTCGTGCTCAGGGTTGCTATGATACAAAGGTGAAATATGCAAATATTAATTGTTACTAAGTTTAAAAATCATTTATTGTTAGATTTAGAGATATAAAGTTGGTCATACATAGTGATTAATTATGCGTTCAGAATGACTATAATTTGAGTCAGTAGTCAAGCTGCATACACCATTGAGAATTCAATCTACTACGCTGGCAACATTTCTGTGTGTTACTGCTCAAACTATTTTACATTTGAGATAAAGATTATAAACAATCACAATTCAGAATTCAGATGCATTCTATAGTGTTCTGATTCAACACAGTACATGTATGTTATACATTCATCACAGTACTTCTTTATTCATCACAGTACTTCTTTATTCATCACAGTACTTCTTTATCCATCACAGTACTTCTTTATCCATCACAGTACTTCTTTATTCATCACAGTACTTCTTTATTCATCACAGTACTTCTTTATTCATCACAGTACTTCTTTATCCATCACAGTACTTCTTTATCCATCACAGTACTTCTTTATCCATCACAGTACTTCTTTATTCATCACAGTACTTCTTTATTCATCACAGTACTTCTTTATTCATCACAGTACTTCTTTATCCATCACAGTACTTCTTTATCCATCACAGTACTTCTTTATCCATCACAGTACTTCTTTATCCATCACAGTACTTCTTTATTCATCACAGTACTTCTTTATTCATCACAGTACTTCTTTATTCATCACAGTACTTCTTTATCCATCACAGTACTTCTTTATCCATCACAGTACTTCTTTATCCATCACAGTACTTCTTTATTCATCACAGTACTTCTTTATTCATCACAGTACTTCTTTATCCATCACAGTACTTCTTTATCCATCACAGTACTTCTTTATTCATCACAGTACTTCTTTATTCATCACAGTACATGTATGTTATACATTCATCACAGTACTTCTTTATTCATCACAGTACTTCTTTATTCATCACAGTACTTCTTTATTCATCACAGTACTTCTTTATTCATCACAGTACTTCTTTATCCATCACAGTACTTCTTTATTCATCACAGTACTTCTTTATCCATCACAGTACTTCTTTATCCATCACAGTACTTCTTTATCCATCACAGTACTTCTTTATTCATCACAGTACTTCTTTATCCATCACAGTACTTCTTTATTCATCACAGTACATGTATGTTATACATTCATCACAGTACTTCTTTATCCATCACAGTACTTCTTTATCCCCAGAAACATTGGATAGCAAAGATTGGCTCATTGGCTTTACAGACTAATAGTCTATTTGTTCATACATTCTACCATGTGTCCCTCAGAACATTCTTTTTTGTTCATGTTTAAAATAATAAATTTGACCATGACTTCTAAATTGTCAGTCATGGTACTGATTTACATTTACATATATATTTCTGTACATCATTTTCTCTAAAAAATGGAAATTTCGACATTGAACTATGAGAAAGGAAAATTCAACTAAATCATTGCAATATTGCATCAGAGTTTTCATAGTGAATTGAAAATCACTTGTTTGTGATCTGATTTAATACAGCCATCTTTATTTGTCTTCTTGTAGGTTTCTGATTTCTTCATGGCCAAGCAGCTGACATCGGAGGCCATCAGTGGACCAACAATCGGGACAGGGTTACAGCCATTTAAATGGACTGATAGATTTCCTGATTCCCATATTGGGGTGCCACAAAGCTACAATTTTCATTTTATTCACATGCGGCCAGAGCTTTGATAACTGATTCAAATTGCTTTTCTTTACTGTTGCTACTTAATTGTAATGTAATTGCATGAAATGTACATTT